GGTAGTAAGCAGGGAAGAGACAGAGCCTACTTATCTTTTTTTTTTCTTTCTTTCTGTGCTGTCTTTTCTTTTTTTCTGTAGGGACTTGTTCTTCCTCCTCACCAGCCAGATCTGGGTCATATGGACAAGCTAACTGGGAGACTGAACCCCCCCCCCCCCCACCTCCGGCCTATTTGAACCCCCAGGCATTGGTGGCATTCACCAACAAAAGTCTGGGCAGGCAGGGGCAGTGTGGGGAGGCCACACCCCTTTGCCCTTGAGAAGAGGCCCCTCTGGGCTTCTGCTGGCCTGCCTGCCGGCTTGGCTGCCCCAGGGGCAGCTCACTTGGTAACAGCAGCGTCCTCTGGGCCACAGAGCGCCGTCTCCCCGGCAACACAGACTTCCGGCTCCCGGGGCCAAGGGTTCTGCCGAGAGTGTGGCTTCCTTGGCCCTCAGCCCTCCCTGCTCCTGAGGTCTGTGGGCGCTGTGGCTGCCCAGCCTCCCCAGAAAGATGCGAGATCGTCTTTCCATTTTTTCTGCCCTTGGCAGCTGGTTTCTCCAGAAATGGTGACTTTATCCTCAGCCACTCTCCCACCTTTGGTCAACCCTTCCTGACCCTGTGACCAAGGGCCTAGGCTGTCCTGGGTGCTGGACAAATCCCAATGTCCTGACTCTGCCATCTCCTGCCCTCCAGGCCAGCTGTGTGCTGCCCCGTCCTGTAGGTGCAAGGGATGTGTGCGCTTGAAATAGGTCCAGGCAGCTGAAGGATTGAGGGAATCATTTGACTTAATTTGCACTGCAGTAGCCTCCCGGGACCAGTGGCTGGCCCTGAGCTCTATGCAAGCATGAGGCCTCAAGAGTGGACCTCTGTTTTCTGCATGGGGAGAAGAGCCTTGTGGGTCACATCCACGGAGGCATAACAGAGAGGACTCACTTTTAGGGCGCTGATACTAGCAGGGCCCAGAGTGGAACAGCGACTGGTCAGAGGGCACACAGCCAGGTTTGGGCCCCCTGGGAGGCAGAAAGCCAGACCTTGCCATCTCAACAAGGTGTGACCGTTTCAGAGGAGCAGGGGACTCGCTCCTCGCCTCTCCATCCCGCTCTGCAGATGCAGCATCTGAGAGAGAGAGAGGGGTCACGTGCCACGGCCCTGCATTCCCCCTCTGTGGGTTTGCTTGGGGACGGCCCTAAACTGCCCTTGGAGAGTGAGGCCACATGGAACTGGGTTTGCAGCCCAGCAGCGCAGGTGGGGAGAGGAAGCCTGGTCTAGCCTCTCTCTCTCTGGAGCCCTTTTTTCCATCGTGGTCTCCTAAGACTTGTGTTTTGCGGGTGCTACATCTGCTGTCCCGCCCTCCTGCTCCCTCTGGCTGCAGGACCCTTGTTAGAAAGGCAAATTTGTGTTGGCCACTTTGGGGTTTTTTGTTTGTTTGTTTTTTTCCTGCATTACTAAATTTTATTTATTCATGAAAACCTTTACTTTTTTCTTTTTTTAAAAAATTTTTATTAGTGAAACATCATGAGGTACAGTTGAAGACTTACAATTTTTTTGTGTTTGGGTTTCAGTTATACAATGATCGAGTACCCATCCCTCCACCAGTGCCCATTCTCCACCTTCCAGTATCCCTCCCTCCTCCCCATACCACCCAATCCCTGAAGCGGGGCATTCCCTTTTGGTTTTCTCTCTCCTTTTGGGTGCTATGGTTTGCAAAAGAGGCATTGAATGGCAGTCATGTTCGGTCTGTATCCTCCCAGGATGAGAGATGCTTGCTGAAAGTAGACTATGGACCGTATTGGCCACTTTGAGTCAAGAAGGACACCAGCCCCCCCCCCCCCTGGCTGTCAGCACCCCCCCCACTTGCTCTCGGCTGGCACCTGAGTCAGGGGCGCAGGCAGGACTGTGTGTGTCGACCCCCCTCCCCACCCCTCCCTTGGCAGGGGCCCTGCTTCCCAACTAGATCAAACACAGAAGGCCCCTTGACATTTGAATTGCAAATAAACAGTGAATCTTGTTTAGGAGAAGTGTGTCCCAAGCCAGTGTCCGATATATTTATGCTAAAGATTGTTGTTCCTCTGAGTCTAATTTTAACCGTGCATCTGAGTTTTGGTTTGTTGTTAGAGGGGGGCCTGGAAGGTGGGGGTGCGCTTGTTTTGCTTTGTTTTATTAGGCTAAATTTGGCTTCTCTGAATGGGAGACATTATCTCCCTCATGTGTACCCATGACAGCCCAGAGTGGGACTCTCTCAAGGCCAGGACTGGATTTGAAACGGGATTTGCTGGGATCCACCGACCCAGTAAAGGGCTCCTGTGACTTCTTCCCGGAAGTCCAGAGAAATCCAGATGAACCATCCCTGAAAAAAAAAAAACAGGAGAAATATCAAACCTTCTCTAATGCCTCTGTGTGCTTGCATGTGTATATGGATGTGTGTGTGTGTGTGTGTGTGTGCACGCGCGCGCATATGTGTGTGTGCATACATGTGAGACTATAAATGGGAAGGTGGTTAGTGTCACTCACCAGCCTGAGAGGGTCATGGTGGCCGTGGAGTGGGGGAAAGAGAAGGCTTGATCCGTCTGAGGCTCTCGGCAAGACATCATATTCCTTGTAGTCCTGGAGATGGGAAGTGCAAGCTCCAGGCACTGGGAAATTTGGGCTCCGGACAAGACCCTTTTCCTGCTCATTGACCATATTCCTTTGCTGGGCCCCGCGTATGAGGAGAGACTGAGGGAGTTCTCTGAAATTTTGTCTTTAAGATGCACCTCCCACCCCACCATGACCTGCCAATGGCCTCATTGTCATGGGGATTAGGTTTCAACATAGGAATTGGAGTGGGGTGGGGAGGACCACATAAGCCTTCAAGCTGAGGACAGCAGGAACTGCTGCTGGATTCATAGGTCCTGCTAGAGGTGGTGAGGTGGGCTGGCTGAGGTGCAGACCTTTTCTGATAGGACCCCCCCACCCACACCGTCCTCCTGTTCTTTCTCAGCGGGCCTTAGGAGCCTCCCACAGCCTGCCTGACTGCCCTTCGCAGCCCTGGGCTGCTGTGCCCCATCTTCTAAACCCGTATCAGATGCCCCTTGGGTCCCATGTGGGTATCAGCCTTGCTCCTTTATGGGTGCTGCCTCTGTCCCCCGGCGGCTCCCTTCTTTCCAGACCACCCACCACTCCCCCCAACCTGGGCCTGCTGTGTGGGCGGGGAGACCCCTCCCTCTCCAAGCAAACCTGATTTGGCAGGGAAAGACTGGGCCTATTCCTGGGCTGCACAGGAGGTGACGGATGTCTGAGGGCCCTCTGGGGGCCCCTGTGTTGATGCTGAAGTTAGGGCTTGTGGAGGCCAGCCGGTATCCCTACCTATGTTCACAAGGCCCATGACTCTCGCTGGGTACCAGGGGTATCGGCTGTGCTGCGTCTGTGGGACCCCATGGTGACCGATGAAGCGATTTCTCAGGCCCAGCTTCAGAGCTGTTCCCAGGGGGCACGTGGGTATCCTCCCGCCTTCCCCAGGGGTTTGTTCAAGCGTCCAAAGGGCTGCCAGGTTGGACAGCAGCTGGGGACTGCTTCAGGCCACCTGAGTGTGAAGAAGAACCGCAAGCCCCTCTGGTGGTCCCGACGTGAGATGAGTGTGGCCCCTTCCAGGGTGGCGGGGCCCAGACAAGCGTCAGATGTCTGTTGGGCCACCAGCAGAGGCAGCTGCTTGTCCCTGGGGGAGGGTCCAGCTCGGGCTGGAGGCCACAGGCCCTGCATTTCAGAGGGGCTGTCTTGTCTCAGGGGAGGCTGGACTCGGGGGGGATGGTACAGAAGAGTTGGTGGGACAGTAAGGACTCTCCTTACACAGGGGGCAGTGGACCCTGGTGGCCTTGGATGAGGTGGGGGGGCAGGGTTGGAGCTGATGCCGCCCTTTCCCAAGAAAGGCTTCCAGTGGTGAGTGGTCGCCTGGCCCAAGGACACTGCTCTACCCCCTCCCCCCGCATGCCCCTGTCCTGCTCCAGCCTGAGTCAGGATTGACCAGATCCGAGCGCTTTAGAGGATGCCAGGCGGACAGACCGAGGCCACTGGTGAGGGTGGCACCCGGGCTGCCTCCAAGGAGAAGGAGGAAGAATGGAGAAGGGGGGGGGGGGTATCCCTGTGGGAGGTGCTGCTGGGTGCAAGGCTCAAGACTGGAAAGGACCTGTCGAGGCCGCATGGGGTGCGGTGAGTGGGAGATGGGTCTGGACGCCGTGTCCTGCGGGTGCTCTTGGCAGAATCTCACGGAATCTCCTGGAATGGCCCTACAGCCCCACCTGACGAGCGCCCTGTCTTGGGGGAGCCCCGCCAGGCTGTTTCCTGCTGCTGCCCAGTGAGGATGTCCCCCTCCCTGCCCGTGGGACCCAGCTGGCTGAAGGATGCCTGTGGGTCCCTTCCCTGGCCAAGACTCCTCAGGAGTCGTGTGGCCTCATCCCCATCCCAGGAGGCTCTCTCTTTACAGGACCGGGTTTAGGGACACAGAAACCTTGGCATGGCCGCAGGCCCTACCCCTGAGACCCCGGGTTCCCGGGTCTGGGGTGTGCATGCTCAGCTGTGCCGGCAAGTGTGCGGAGGTGCCTCTCGCGGGGCACGGTTCAGAGCCCTGCTCCTGGGATGGATGGGCCCCCTCTGCTTCCCCCAGCCCTCAGCCTCCTCATCTGAAAACTGCCGGGCTTGTAGGGCTCAGGGGGGTTAATTCACCTGCCTCCTGTTTCTGCTCTTCATCTCACTCTCCTGCCCACTGGAGGAAGGGGCCTGCTCACCTCTGGCGAGGACCCCCTCAGCCCGGTGACAGCAGCCGGGGGTGGGGGGTGGGGCTGAGACAGTGTGGCTGGGTGTGGGGGTCCCACGAGGGAATGATGTGCAGACCTGGGGTGTGTGTGTGGAGGGTGCGGGGCGGGGGGGTTCTTCCCTGCACCTCTGCTGGAAAGGCCTTAAGGCAGAGCTGTCAGGTGAAGCCCAGGCCCTTCTGGACAGTGCCCAGACCCGGGAGTGTCCTCTAACCGGCGCCCTTGTCCCCTAGCGCTCCTGCGGGAAGACGTGTCTCGGCTCCAGGAGGAAGTGCACCTTCTCCGGCAGATGAAGGAGATGCTGGCCAAGGACCTGGAGGAGTCCCAGGGCGGCAAGTCTTCCGAGGTGCTGTCATCCACCGAGCTCAGGGTGCAGCTGGCCCAGAAGGAGCAGGAGCTGGTCAGAGCCAAAGAAGCGTTGCAGGGTGAGTGACAAAGCTGTGTAGGGGAGGTGGGGGCGGGGGCAGGGGGCTTGCCTGCTCTGGAGCTCAGGCCACAGTGGGCAGTGGGGACAGATGTGGGGGACAACAGGACCCCCGTGCTGAGCCCCCCCTAGCTGAGACGTCCTCCTCTCTCTTCAGCTAGAGCTCTGCCTCCGGTGGGGCTGGTGGCCTTGTCAGTCCCTTCTACCCGTGACCATGTGGTGTCCAGCCTGGAGGAGGTGTGTGTATGGGAGGGGGGTCATGGTCACCTCTTTCCAGGGTCTGGATGGCAGGCCAGCCCTGCTGCAAGGTCCCCAGTCCCCCAGTGCTCTTGGGTTCTTTGACACCTTTCCTTGTGGGGCAGTGTGATGCCAGGTTCTCTGCAGAAGGACATGAGTGTCCCCTTCTCAGCTCGCCTGGGGAGCGGGGATTTCTTGGTGGGGGAGGGGAGACAGTGGGAGTTCCCACAGCTGCTTGCCACATCCCAGGGCTGGGGCTGTGTCTCCCGTGACCTGAACATCCCCAGAGTGCTCCAGAAAGCAGAGCATGGAGCTATGGGGACAGCATAGCTCCTGAGGTCTGCCCTCATTCTCCTGAGTCCCCCTAACTCTTTGATTCTTCTGAGGGAAAAAGAAAAAAGCAGTTAACTGGGCAGCCTGCTCCCATTCCTCGTTTACTAGGATAATACTCTTTCACATGTTATGTTATTGTATAGACCTGCCCCCCAAACAGAGTGGCCCATCAAATCTGTTACATGGGCCAGAGATGTGGCTCAGTGGTCGGACACATGCTTGCGTATATGAGGTCCTGGGCTCACTCCGTAGTGCTGCAAAAATTGGAAAACCCAGAAGAATAAGAGTCTTTCTGGGTCTCTTCTGTAGCCCACCCCTGAGTAGTATTTCTAACTGGGGCACATCTCTGGTTCCCTTGGGCCTGCGTTTAGTCGCATGAGCTGACCTGGCCGCAGAGGGTTCTAGGAAACCCAGGTTCTAGCTGGGAGCCTCTGTCCCAGCCACACGTCTCAGTGATGGGGAGGAGGCAGTGGGCTTTGCTGGGCGGGGATCCTAAGAGCCATCCCTGGGAGCTCTGCCCAGCGTCCCTGGAGACAGGCCGGCTCCCAGGTGTTGCTCCACCTATGCTCAGGTGACCAGGGGTGGGGGGTGGGGGTGGGTGAAGCCGGGGCTCCTGGGCTGCCCTTGGAATCATCTCCCTGGCCCAGCACATGCTACCCTGCACAGCTGAGAGCTTCTGAGGCTGGGGACTTTATTCCCCTTCCGGTCGTGTTCTGGGTGGTCTCCCGAGCTGGTGCGCCAGTGGGCAGTGGTTTGTGCTGTGTGTATCACGGTTCAGCTGATACTGCGGGATTGGAAGGCTCTGTGCGAAACGTATGCTCTCCTCTCCCCCTCACTTCCCTTCCTGTCATCTATTTTTTGTGACTCTGCTCAGGGCTTTTTCCTCGGCTCTGTCTCTGCTCAAAGGTCATTCCTCACAGGGCTCAGGGGACCATATGGGGTACCAGGGGTCAAACCAAGGTCAGCCTTACCCGCTATCCATCTCTCCATCTCCCCCCGCCCTCAGTTTTTAACAGATCCATTATTTGCCTTGTTTCCTCCCCGCCCCCCCCCCCCCCCCCCCGCTGCCCTTCCCTCTGTTGCCGAGTTGTTGTGATGCCGGGGTCCCTTGCATGCCTTGGCTGGGGTGCTCAAACCCTCTTGTCTGTGCTGTTCCCCCAGGGGTGTCATATCAAATTGCAGAGCTCACCATGGGCAGTGCTCCTTTGGGTGTGGTGTCTGTGTACAGGCTCGCACTTCTTACGTGAGGCCCACGAGGGGTGGCCGGTGCCCACAAACCTGCCTGTAGTATGGCCAGAGCAGTTGGCAGTGGCAGAGATCACAGACCACAGGGCTGCCAGCATCATGCGCTGTGTATGGGGGACACCAGGGATTAAAACTCAGGACTTTACACTTAAAGCAGGTGCTCTGCTTTGTAATTGCCAGCTATGATTTCTCTGAACCAAACACATCCTCTCTCTCTCTCTCTCTCTCTCTCTCTCTTTCTCTCTCTCTCTCTCTCTCTCTCCTCTCTCTCCACACATACCCAGAAGTCTAGGAAGGTCTGTGCCAGTAACTTCCAGCTTCCCAGGGACCAGCCTCATTTATTTATTTATTTATTTATTTGTTTATTCATCCATTCATTCATTCATTCATTTTGGCTTGGGGACCACCCCTGGTGGTGCTCAGGGTTTACTTACTTCTGACTCTGTGTTCAGGGACCACTCCTAGCAGTCCTCAAGGGACTATGTGTGGTGTTGGTTGGCCGAATGCAAGGCAAGCACCCTACCTACTGTACTATCTTTCTAGCCACCCTCCCCTTCACCTCATCTTTTGACCTCCTTGGAATGGAGACCCATGTCTCTGTACTCCCTGATGCACTCTGACCCCTGACATGCTTCAGCCTTGCTAGACTGTCTGACCTGTGTGGAGCCAGGCTGCCCAGGAAGCAGTCAGCACCCGTATTTGTCACCGGAACAGAGTGCCTGCCACCCAGCCTGGACCAGAGAGGGCGACTCCAGCCACAGTTGCCTTTCTAGGCCTCAGCTCTTCCTAAACCCAGAGGAAGGGATGGGGGCCTGAGCGTCCTGCCACCCCCTGCCCCCCGCCCCCCCAGAACCCAGTTTCTGTCACGCAGCCTTGAATGATGACTTGGTGAGGCCGTACTGGTGAGGGCAGAGTGGTGGGGATGTGTTCCCACACAGGCCTCCCCTCCTCCATCCCCCCAGGCTGCTCTCTCACCCCTCACCCGCAAGCTTCCCGGGACCCTGAGCCTCCCGATTTAGTGGCTCCTGGGATGAGCCATGATCCCACCAGCAAAGACTGGCCAGTGCTCGTTCAAGAAAAGCTTTATGGAGCACCCTCCGAGTGCCAGCAGGGGGCCAGGCATGTGGTCTGCAGCCGCCCACCCTGCCAACCCCCTTTCACGTGTAGGGATGCCTGCAGGGGGTGCAGGGAGGTTTGGAGATTTGGCTCAGGTTCCAGAACTCAGTGCTAGCAGCAGAGCTGGGAAACTCTGCCCCCTATGGGGACAACCCCCCCCTTTCCTCTGCATGTGGTCACTGGGCATAAAGTCGGGGGTGGAGGGGGAGTGGGGGGCGGGAGACAGGAAGCCATCGCCGTGTAGCAAGTGGGACGCACTTGTGGATCCCAGTGTGTGATCTTGGGCAGACTGCTTAAGCTCTCTGAGCTGTGTTCCCTTGCTGAAGGGAGCAGTATAAACCCCATATTTCTTATAATTGGTGTGCGTGACAATAACGTATGAGAAGTATTCCTTAGGATTGTCATGAGGATTACATAACATGCAACATGCTTAGCCCGATGCCTGTTACCTGTTATTTGTGCCAATACATAATGATTATATGAGAAGGGACTTGATGCCCCTCCTGGGAACTTCTTGGAGAGGTCGGTCATCTAATTCCCAGATCTTAGACCACCTCAGTCAGGATAACTGCGTTTTGGATAAACAGCGAGGTCCTGCCTGGCTTTCATCAGAGTTAGGAATCAACGCTTCCTTCCAGCCTCTGTGACCAAATCACCATCAGATGCTGTCAGGAGGAGACCGGGGCCCGAGAGGGCTTTAATGTGTCTGTAATGAGGAGAAGACAGGTACTGGGTGACACTTGGCTTGCGGCCAGCATCCCTGCAGTGAGGAGACACCAAGTCCCCCAAATACTCCTACTCCTGCAGGTCCCTACCATTTACGTTCCAACCTCACTGCGCCCCCTCCTTTGATTTGGGGTGGGATGGGATGGGAATTTTCCAGCCTCTGAGAGGCTTGGAAACTCAGAACAACACCTCAAACATCAAGCCGATGTCCAGGCAACAGGATGCATCAAGTCTGGAGAGACAAGAGGCCCTGGGCATGAGGGTGAGATATTGGGGGAAGAAGAGGGGTCTCCTCAGGAGCAGAAGGCACAGCCTGAGCTGTGTCCTAGGGAGTGAAAGCTCTGCCCAGGACCCCAACCTAAAGGTGGGACCCACGGGTTCTCCAGGACCCCTCAATTTTGCTGCTCTCGTCCTGCATCAAAGCATGACAGAAACGATCATTATGAAAATTTGCCTCCTGCCTTTTTTTTTAATCACTTAGCAGCGTGTCGAGAGTATGCCGAGCATTTTCCCATAACAATAAATGCTCTTTGAAAACATAATTTTTAATGACTTCATAATGTTCTACCAAATGGAGGCGCCATAATTTATTCAGCCATTTCCCTCTTATTAGACATTTACGCTGTTGCCGCTTTTTTCTTTCTGGTCTTGCTGTTATGTAACGCGGCTCTGGAGCCCTGTGTGTGTACGCCGTTTTATTTCCTGAGGGTAGTATCTGTCTGACTTCGTGGTCTCAGGGGCACCGTATACTTTTGTACAATTGAGGACCACTCAAGAGAAGATTTATGTGGTTTTGTTTATATCAGTATTTACCATTTTAGAAATTAAATCTGAAGACAGGCAGCAGAGAGATAAGTATAGGGTTAAGCACTTGCCTTGCAGGTTGACCAGCCCCAGTCCGATCCTCAGCATCACTTACAGCCCTCTGAGCAGCCAGGAGTGATTCCTGAGCACAGAGCCAGGAGTAAGGCCTGAGCACAGCCAGTTATGACCGAGACCCTACCTCCATCCCCTACCAAAGAAATAGAAAGAATGTCTAAATCTTCACTAACAATAATAAACTCGTTATGTAAGTCTTTGACATGCATTTATTTTTCAAATGTTTCTTAATTTTAAGAATGTTCAGGATAACTGTTTTTGTCAGTTTCTTTCGTTTTGTTTTCTGAAACAGAGACTTGCATGAGAGAGCAGTATCGTTAGCCAAACTTGTTTGTTCTGGTTTTGTGGAAGAGAGTTGAATTCTTATCTCTGCTCCTTCATCAGCCCTTTGTGATGTGTTGATTTGGTTTAAAATCTGGTATCCCACAACTCCTGAGCTGAGACTAGATTAGGTTGGGGGGGGGG